TGGTATTAACTGGGCTTCCCTATAGGCGCATGGATATTATCCTATCACTTACAGCATTGTACCTCATGACTGATTTGGATATGTTCTTTTTGATGATGAATGCAACACCATTCCTACCAACCTTAAATTATTTTCCTGCTTTTCTTTGTGGATCCAAGAATCTGGTATTAGGAAAACCTCTTTGCCCACACGAAAAAGAACCAAGGCCAATTAGACATGGTGTCTTCATTTCCTAGGAATACTGTAGCACATCATCACAAATTTGGTGATTTAAGACTGCAGAAATTTATTGTCTTACAGTTCTGGGCGCTAGCAGTTCTAAATCCAGTTATCACCAGGGCCGTGGTGTCTGTAGATGCTGGAAAAGGATCCTTTTTTTTCTTCCTAGCTTCTGGTGTCTCCCGGTAGTCCTTGGTGTTCGTTACCTGTAGCTGTATCACTGAGTCTCTGCCTCCCGTCTTTTGGGTGGCCTTCATTTCTGTTGGGTGTCTGTCTGTGTGTCCTCTCTTCCTTTTATACAATGACACTGCTTATTTGATTCAGACATGTCCTAATTGACAATGTTGGTGGTGGTGGTTGTGTGCCATGGAGTCGGTTCTGACTCATAGCAACCCTGCATAGGGTTTCCAAGGCTGTAAATCTTTACGGGATCAGAAAGCCTCATCTTTCTCCCATGGAACGACTGGTAGTATTGAACTGCTGACCTTGATGCTAGCAGCCCAACTCGAAACCACTGTGCTACCAGAGTGCCTTTAATCAACAATGGCTTCCTTTTAACTTGCTTACATTTAAAAGACCCTATTACCAAATCCAGTCACAAGAGCATGCTAGTTGAATATACTGTTTTTGAGGACCCAGTTCAACCTATTACACCTGGTTTTTTCTGGATTGCCTCTGAGCTTCAAATGTAGAATTTTGAATAAGTTGTTCATCTTTCCTTTGAAGTGATGAGCCTTGGGATTAGTATCATTTGAAGTTTTATTAAGCTATATAGTCCTTGACTTTTCTGCTCCAAGATTCCCAGTGTATACTTGCGATTCCAGGGAAGTAGCTACTCCTATTGGCATCTATTGATCTAGATTTAGTACTTCTTTACAATTTAGAGCATTAATAGAATTTTCATGTACTTTTTTTTTTTTCTTGTACTTTTTAATTATGTCTAATATAAATTGTTATTTTTTAAAGTTATAAAGATGCTTCAGGCTGCAAAGAATTTGGTGAAAGAAGAAAAATTGGTACACAGCTATCCCTATGACTGGCGAACCAAGAAACCGGTGATTATTCGTGCCAGCAAACAGTGGTTTGTGAATATCATGGATATTAAGCCCACAGCCAAGGTATAAAAGGCATCTTATGATAGGACTTGGGTGTATCATTCCCTCAGTATGAAAGGGTTGACTGTGGTATTGAGTTGGGGTTTTGGGTATTAAAGGGCTTGCTGTTATTACGATTTGTTTTCATAAAGTTGTAGACTGTTAGATCTCCAAGGACATTGGAATTCCATCTTTTCATTGAATATGTGTGGAAAGTGAGACCCTGATTGACTTGCCCAAAGTCACAGTGCATAGGTAGACTTTCCTGCCCATATTGAAAGTCGGATTAGGACAGAACTGAATTTCAAAAGTTGTTTAAACTTGTAGATCCTGTTTCCTCATATACAGAAGTGATAATAATGCCTGCCTCACGGGGTGTTGTTAAGTACTGGGTTTCTGAAGCGCGGCTTGTTGATTTGAACCATCGATATTACAGTTTAAACTGACTTTGTGGTTGAGTGCTTATCCTACAGTGCCATACCAGGACTCCAGGGGTAAGTGACTGAAAATTCCTAGAGCAGTATCAAGCACATAATAGACATGTAATGAAACTATCTATTTAAAGCCCATTTACTACCTTAAAATTATAATTGCGGTTGATTTTAGAAGTTGTTATATATAGCCAGTGTTCTAAATGTTTAATACGTGTTTGAGTTCTTTCATTCCATACGTGTATATATGTATCTATGATATATGTATGATAGATCTTACGCTCAATTTGATTTTGTTGAGTGAAAGAGCTCAAATATAATTTAAATTTTAAGACGTCAAATATGTTAGCTAGGAAGACTATGTAGACATTTTGCTTTATTTATTGGCTTCTTTATTTTTCGGTAATTTGAGGCCCTAGCCAAAGCAATACATAGCAATTCACATTTTTTAAACTCACCTAGCACGGAGGCTCCATATGATGAGCACTGGACTGTGAACCACAAGGTCCGTGGTTCGAGCTCGCCAGCCTCTTTGTGGGGGAAAAATGATGCTTTCTGCTCCTGTGAAAATTTAAAGCCTCGGAAACCCTGTACAGGGTTGATGTGACTTGGAACTGACTCAGTGGTACTTAACAAAAAGTATGGACAATTGTGATATAAATTATTTTTATTTTTTTGTTTTTACACTCTTAAAATTTTATTTTCCTGACTTGTAAAGGTTAAAATGTTTAACTGCCAGCTCTGCACAGATTTGTGGTGGCAGAATTCTGATACAATATGTGTAAGCCAAGTTTTTGTTTATTCAAACTTTATTGTGAAAAAATTTTCAGTTGCTCTTTGCTGAAATTGAGGGGATAGGACAGTGCACCACCATGTTCCCATTACCTAGCTCTTAATCATGAATCAACTTTTGGCAAATTTTGTTTTTATCTGCCCTCCTTCCTACCAACCTACCTTTATCCACTACCCAGTGAATTATTTTAAAGTAAATTCTGGGTACTATTTCTTCCAGAAATATTTCAGCATGTGGGTTAAGCTGTTAACCAAAAGATTGATAGTTAGAACCCTCCACTGTTCCATCGGAGAAAAACGGGGTAGTCTGCTTTGTAAAAGTGTACTGCCTCAGAAACCCTGTGTAGCTGTTCTACTCCTTCCATAGGGTACTGTGATGCACAACTGACTCCATGGGTCTGGTGTTTGGATTTGGAGATCTGAAAGTTTTAAAGACTTTAAAAAATAGAACTCCAACGCTGCTACCACCCTAAAGAAAGTAATAATTCCTTAACAAAATGAAATATCTAGTCAGTATTCATATTTCCTGTTTTTTGTTTTTTTTTAAATTCATATACAAGAGTATTTTATTCCAAAGTACTCATGAACAGTTTTATTATGTTGACATTCTCATACCTGGGAAGCATATTTCCTGGATTTGTTTTTTAACTGTTTTATTGTGAATTATGTTATAGTTTACATGGGAGAACATTAGCTTCACATTCATCCTATCGTATATCATTTCATTGCCATGATTACAGACCCCTCTTTGCGCCATCAACCAACCAAAAGGTACACTACTCAAGCCTGCCCCTCAGTCGTCAGTACACAGCCCCTCTCCCTCTCTGGGTCTAGAGTCCCCAGACGCTCCATCTCTCCATGTCATCATCTCTGCCTCCATCTCTGGCATCACTGTTTCTCTGGGTTGGGTCCCGCATTCCGCTCTTCTCCCTTAATGGTCCCAGGGGCCTCCGTTCCTGTCCTGCAAAGTCAACCGCTCCCCTATTTTTGCTACAAAACGCCTGCCTACCTTTAAATTTCCAATCCTCACAGTCAGTTCTGATGGTAATTATTCACTATTGTACCACATGAGTGCTATCCCCATCTCATTTCATCAGTCCCGCCCAGACAGATTTGGATACTACTTAGTGGAGATTCTACCTTCCTCCTTGCCCTCTGGATCTAGACTCCCTCTTCATTTCCTGGATTTTTAACCCACCTTTAATCCAGTTGAAAATAGAGATGATGCCATTTTGCCAGTAGGTGGTGCTATAAAAGGCCTTGGATAAGGGATTTCTAGTTGAGTTCAAGTAAGAAAGAAAATCATTTAAAACTACTCTGAAAATATAAAAATGCTTTTATTAAATGATAGATATTTTTAGGTTAATTCTGACTTTCTGGATATTAATACCAAATGCTTTAGCAATTAATATATTTAGTATTTTGGTAGTTGGCCAATAAAGTGAATGAAATTAACTCAAATGCTAGTAGTTTACACTCTTGGGGATGAGGGGGCAGTAAAGGAAAGTTCTTGAGGTGGTAAGTAAATAATAAGTAATGGATTTTAACAATTTCTTTCTTTTTTTTTCTGTTGTGTAAACTATGTGATGTAAAATTTAGTTAAGTTGCAAATTCTTGCTTGGTATCCTAGGCTAGTAACTTACTTTTCAAGCATTAAAAAAAACAAACAAACTTGAAATCAAGGCTGAATTGATTTGCTTATAGTCTAATGAGGAGCCCTGGTGTGGCACCATAGGATAAGCACTTGATCTCAAGGTGGGTTCGAATTGCAAGGTTGGCGATTCAAACTCATCAGTTGCTCCTTGGAAACCAACCCTATATAGGGCCACTGTGAGTCAGAACCAACTCAACGGCACTTAACTACTACATTGTAGTTTAATGAAGTAAAAATCTTTTATGAAACCTGTTATTAACAGCTTTGATCAAGAGTCCTAGGAGTTGGTGGTAAAAAATAGCTTGTCATATCCTCCATAGTGGAGTCTGCTGTCACTGTTATTTATTGGGTCCTTTGTCCCATTTTATTTTATGTAATTTGTTATGAAATCTTTTTTTTTTTAAATGGGGTTTTTTGATGAGTGGATGGGAGAGAGCATGTGAATTTACTTTGAATGTTTATATTTCAAAATAAAGAACCGCACTGGGAAAAATAAAGTTCTACTTCATTTTGCTAGAAATTGACTTGTGAATCAATTTCAGGAATTATTAAAAAAGGTGAAATTTATTCCTGGGTCAGCACTGAATGGCATGGTTGAAATGATGGACAGGCGACCCTACTGGTGTATATCAAGACAAAGAGTTTGGGGTGTTCCGATTCCGGTTTTTCATCATAAGACAAAAGATGAATTCTTGATCAACAGGTAGAATGAACTCTTTTTAAATTTTTTTGGCATTTTAAAGTAAGTTTTGTTGTCTAATAAAATGTAAAAAAAAGTAGACTGTTTTTTAATTTTTCATAACTTCTGTGCGTATTAATATAATATTTGAAAATAATTTTGTTTTTAGGGTAATATAAGATTCTGGAGACTGCTTAATTTCTCTGAGTCTCAGTTTGCTTTTCTGTAAAATAGAACGAACTGTGCTTGTGACAGAATTATTATGAATTCTACGTAATACAGTTAAAAATCCTGGAATAGAACATAGTGTTCCATAAATGGTAGGTGCTCTTCATTTGTTAAGGAGCTCTGGTAGCATAGTGGTTATGAATTGGGCTGTGAACCGCCAGGTCAGCAGTTGGAAACTACCAGCTGTTCCACGGGAGAAAGAGGAGGCTTTCTGCTCCTGTAAAGATTTACAGCCTCGGAAACCCTGTACAAGGTCGGTCTGAGTTGGAACTGACTCCATGCACTTAACAGTTCATTTGTTATTTAAGAAACACTTGCAGAGACTTAGTACATGTCAATGTTAGGTACTGCTCATAACTGTTATAAACAGGACTGATGGGATTGTCTAATTTAGGGAGAGTTTGAGTTTTGCTGTTGCTCTTAACAGATATTGGAAGGGAAATGTTAGCCATTTTTTTTGGGAATACATTGTAAGTTTTCATTTTCTTTTTTAGTAGTTCTGCTTTAATTTGGTATATGGAATTTTTACTAAAGTACACTCTAGCATCAGTAAAGAGTTGACATTTTGGTGACTATTTACACATTTCATCAGTTGAGAAGCCAGTTATGAATTTGAGGACATGGTAGTCAGCAAGTAATTAGAAGTTTAAGAGACTGTACGCATAGACTTGACTGTCCCTGCCTTGGGGTTCTTTAACATTTTTTGTGAAAAGGATCTACTTTTCATTGTCAGTACTACTTAGGTTATGTGTTCATGAATTATATATTTTCACAGATTTGAAAAATGTTTATGAAGTTTTTTTTTCCTTTTTAAATTTTAATAACCACAGATTTAGATGGTCTTAGTATGCCTTGCATGAAAGTTCCTTTTCAGTTTTAAATACATGTTGTGATCACTCCTTAATATGGCTATGATACCTTATGATTACATGCTTCAGAGTGAGGAACTTGAGGGTCTGCCTTGGCAAATGTTAAACCACCAAATAGCTCATTTGCTTTATTTAGAGATGATATGGCATCTGAGTTGAGTCATGAGTTGTAGGTAGCAAACTAGGAAAAGGGGGAGTGTTTTCTAAGTAGAGGGACTAACAGGAGCTGAAGACCTGGGCCTAGAAAGTATACCATATTTATGGAAATCCAAGAGTCCCTGGGTGGTGTACATGGCTAACATGCTTGGCAGCTAACTGAAAGCTTGAAGAAGGTTCGTGTCCACAGAGAGGCACCTTGGAAGACAGGCCTGGTGATTTACTTCCAACAATTGAGTCATTGACTATCCTATGGGCATATTTTTCTACTGACATTTGGAGTTGCCATGAGTCGTAGTTGGCTTGATGGCAACTAGTACTAGAACCAGTTATGATGATGGGTGTAAAACTGTACTTTAGGAAGAGAAACTAGAGGCTGGACACCAGAAAGTCAGTGAAAAGCTATTTTTTAATTTTTATTTTTAAAAACTTTTTATTGTAAATTGAGTGAAGGTTTACAGAGCAGATCACATGTTTTACATTCAACAGACCATTCACTTTGCTTCACCACATGGTTGCAGTCCCCTCATGTGCCAACAGTTACACAGCATTTCCCTCTATTTACTTTAACTGTTGCATTCCTTGAGTCTCCCACTACCTTCATCTTTCCTCTGTTAAACTCCCTCATGTTGTATATTGTCTGCTCTGTCACCCATGTTAACATGAATAATTTTCTGTTCCACCCCTCTCCCCGTAACCATCATAGATTGATTCTTTTATCAAGAAAAAAATTTTTAAAAAGTTTTTCACAAAGTTAGTCTCATACGATTTGCCCTTTTGTGATTGATTAATCACCCTCAGCATAATGTTCTCTAGGTTCAACCAGGTTGTGAGGTGTTTCACGATTCATCATTATTCTTCAGTGTTTTGTAGTATCCCATTGTGTATATGTACCAAACTTTGTTTGACCATTCTTCTGTTGATGGGCATTTGGGCTGTCTGTATCTTTTTTATGTCTTTTGTAGACAGCATACTGAAGCATCCTGTTTTTATATGTATTCTGTTCTTTATGTCTCTTGACTGGTACATTTAATCCATTTGCATTTAGTGTAATTATCAGTAAGTATGAGATGGTTGTTGTCATTTTTCTGTGTGTTGTTTTTTGTGGTGCTCTTGGATTCTTTTATATAAGTTTCTGTGCTGCGTTCATTTTGTTTGTGGGTTTTCTTTTCATTTTCATTTTTCTTGTGTTAATAGTTACTTAATCTTTCAGACTTCCTTCTTTTTTTATATTGATGTGCAGGTGTATTTTTTTTTTTTTTTAAGAGATTACCCTGTAATTTATTAAAAATTTCCCTGCTTAAAGCAGTCTGTTTTATAATGGAATCTACTTGACTTTCTTGCCATTTGGAAATTCTATATCTCGACTATTCCCTCTTTTTGATTTGTAGTTGACTTCATTATACATTGATATCTCTGGTTCTCTATTTTCAGTTTTATAGGTTTCTTTGACTTTAAATACTTCTATATCTGGGTTGAGTTTTTGTTAGTGTTGTCATGTGTGGTAAGCTCAGGTTGTTTGCTGTTGTTGGTTCTCATTCCAGAGAACACCCCTTAGCATTTTTTGTAAAGTTGGTCTGATAATTACAAATTCATTTAATTTCTCTTTATCTAGAAATGCCCTAATTTTGCTGTCGTGTTTCAGGGACAGTTTTCCTGGGTGTATGATACTTGGTTGGCAACCTTTTTTCCCCCCAGAGTTTTGTATCTGTCATTCCAATGGCTTCTTGCCTGCATGGTCTCTTATAAGAAACCAGAGTTTAACCTTGTTGGTTCTCCTTTGTAGATAACTTGACAGTTTTCCTGAACTGCTTTCAGGATTCTGAAAGGCTACTTTATACTTTAGTTTTATTAACATTTGGAATTGAGATGAAATGCTTTGTTGTAAATAGTATTGATCATTCTATTCTTCTAATTTAGAGCTTGGTGACATGTTAATGACTAAGACCTTAATTCCTTCTGTTAAGAATTCATCAGTTGAGAATGAAAGTGATTATGTTGTCATTATTAGTGCCGCCAAGTGGGTTCTGGCTCACAGCGACCCTGGATAGGCTTTGTGAGGGTATGTCATTGTGGTAGTATGTCTTTGTGGTAGCATAAAGACGTTTCCTTCTCTGGAGGAGCAGCTGGTGAATTTAAACTGTCAACCTTGTAGTTCACAGTCCTGTGCTTATCCTACAGAGCCACTGTTCTCCCAAAGTGATTATAGTTGAAATAAATTTACACAAGTATTGTTTACAATAGAAGATTTTCTTTGAAAGAAATGTTAAAAAGCCACCATGAATGTTTCTCATTCTTTTCAATATTTAGAGGAGAATATTTTTAGGGAATTTCCCTGAAGTGATTGAGACAGACCATATATGTACATATAAGTAACTAGAGCAGACTGGTTTAATTGACCATTATTTTATCATGACAATAAAATGGTATGTAAGTTGATACATGAGCAAGCTGGGTGAAAAAAATATGAGCTTTATCAGAAAAAAACACAAGCAGATTTTTATTATCATTTATGTTTTATTTACAATTAATATATTTACATGGTGTGTTATAGATTTTTTTTCTGTGTAGCTTCATTGTGTTGCTTGCCTTGTATTAGTTCATTTCTGACTTTGAAGTAGCAGAGGCATACAGAATATTGGCCTACAGAAATGACAGGCAAACTTAGCCATATTGTCTGTCAATTCATAGGTCATTTTCCTGTGTACCTTTTTCTTAATGTTGACTGTACTCCTCTTCCATCGCTGATTTACTGTATGTGGTGTGTAACACTTGGATTCAAGAAAATTGATATTAATTCTTTGTCAGCTTTGTAAGACCAAATGAAAGGTAACCTTTTTTTTTTCTTCGTTAATCCAGTGAGAATTAAGTGACAATGATTTATCCCTTTCTTTGTTGTTCCTTTTTATTGTAGCAGGTTGGTAACCATCAAAAGTAACAGCATCTCCACTGGAATTTGAGACATAGTCCACATGGAGTTGCTGTTACATTTGATAACCCCATTAAGCATATCGGAAGATTCATTTCCCTTTTTATGATGAAAGTCTATAGGTTACCTCTAAGTGTACTTCTTTCTCAGAAAAGAATCTTGATTTATTCATGTTCTTAGTAAATTTAGGAAATGGTAGGTGTGAAACTTAGATGTTTAATTTTGGTCTCATGAGCATTTTATATTTGCATCTGTATTTTCTTAAGTAATGATTCTATTTTTTACTTTAATATGTTTAATCACTTTTCTGAATCTGCTGTATAATGCCATTTTAATTTAGATCAAAATCTATTTCTAGTAAATGCATACAAAAATTCTTTCAAGAATACGAACGGTAAAATTAGAAGCATTGGCTACCTAGAAAGGAAAAATGGTAGTTAAAGCCCTTTCGTCATTTCAGATGATTGTAATCATCAACCTAACACTAATAATGTAATAATTGACATAAGTAATTAGGAAACTTAGCAACTGATTTTTGGAAACTGACAAATTTCCCCAAAACAGCCTGTACGTTTTAGTTTTGAGTGTTAATGGCCTAATAATGACCTTTGGTGAAAAATATAATATTCATTAAATAAATTAAAAGTCCTCCAAAATTATTTAATTTTACCTTTAAAATATAAGTATAGGATTTAACAAAAAATAGTTTTACTCCAAGAAATTTTATTATGTTCTAGAATTAAACTTGTAAATAAAATAAAACACTTAACTGCTTACCTCATTTTTACTTCAGTAACTTGTAGAAGAAAAGTTTTCTTACAGTCTTCAATATTTTGCGTATA